ATCAACCCAAACAAATTTAGAAATAACCGGAAATAGCCCGAAAGTAAACATCAAGTAAAATGTTAATATCGTTAAATTAGATCCTTTTGGAAAATTACGTAAATATCTAAATTATTTAAGTAATTATTAAAATTTTTTTATTATGATTTTATATAATTACAAAATTTATATTAATAGATTTTCCTATCTTATTTTATAAAAATTTTAAATTTTTAAAAAATTCAAAATAGCTTGATAGCTTTGATAAAACCTGTCAAAAATCTTTTAAAAAATGAATTCATTAATTTGTAACCGCGTTACAAATTAATTTTGTTATCTATGATTACAAATTAATTTTGTTACCTACGGTTACAAATTAATTTTGTCACCTATGGTTACAAATTAATTTTGTAACTTAGGTGTAGTGTGACTATCAAACAAAATTTTTTATAATAGTAAAACCCTGCGATTAAAGTTGGGGTTAGAATGAGGTTGCGATTGGAGAAAAACATGGCCTATAACAAAATTTCGTAATGAATTTTTTTTTGTTAGAATGTTTTCATAATCAAAATTTTGAGTTATTAATTTTTTTTTTTTTTAAAAAAAAAAAGCGGCTTCTGATATGATTTTGCGTTACAATTCAGTGTTATAAATTCAAAAAATTTTTATTGGCGCAAACGAAAAAAAATATGCACAAAAAAGAAATTTATACGCGCTTTATATATATATGGAAAGCGCTGATATATGCGCAAATTTAAACCTATTTACGCTGCGCCTACTGCGCGGAACCAATTTACATCACTGGTTACAATTAATCCTGAAATTTGTTTGACCTTTTGGGATGCGGTTAAAAACCAATTTTTTTTATTAATTTGTTTATGCTTAAAACACTTTTAAAGTTTGGAAAGTTTATTGCGAATTCGGCATTTCGATTAATAATAGATTTTTTAAAAAATTAAGATATCGCAACTACCAACAAAAAAAAAAAAAAAATTAGATTTCAAAGATGAAAAAAAAATTGAACTAAGTCATGAGGTCGTCTAGATGTCCTCACTTAGGAATATTGTCGGATGGGGAAATCCGTTTTAAAACTCAAAACAGCCATATATGGTACGACGTTGTTTATGTATTAAGAAAGGAATGGAAATTGTAGTATGACAAACCCAAAGTTTGTATACGTTTCATCATTTGAAATCCGTATTCTTTGTGCAAGTTACTGTAAACATGACAACAGGAAAACCAGACTTTGGGGTTTAAACTTATAATTTATAAGACTTAATCATCAATATTATTCCGGTAAGCTAAATGTTTAAAATGCCTATTCTGGTTTTCCATTAGCATAGTTTATCATATCGGCAATTTAAGGAATTTACTAATAACTGTTTGATATACTAATTTATTTTTGATATGCTATAAAATGCTCATTTCAGTAAGACGACTCTAACGAGCCCCAATCATCAAAATCTGATCACTAGATCTCGAGATAGTGTTATTTTATTAGTAAGTTTTACAAATACATTTATGCTGAATAGTCCTTGATCCACCGAACCGTTTGTATGATTTTGTCACTAGAATGTTCATCTTGATGAGGCGATTCTAACGAGCTCAAAATCGGTAAAATCCAATTATAGAATCCCGAGATCGAGGGGGTATGATGAGATTGGATTTTTATAATCCCTCGAAATAAATACTGCTCCTTAATGATCTCGAGATCCTGTGATTGAATTTTAACAATTTTGGACTCAGCAGAATCGTCTCGTTTAGATGAGCTTTCTGGTGGTAAAATCATCCCAAACGGTTCGGTGGATCAAGGCTAGCCGACAAAGTGTGTTTTTACTGTGATTCTAAAAATTACTAATAAAATAACAGAAAATTTTAACTATCTCTATAGTGATTAGGTTTTGATTATTTTGGGCTCATTAGAATCGTCTCACTGAGACGATCATTTTGGTGGCAAAATTGTCAAAAAATATATTATATGTCAAAAGTTATTGGCAAATTCCCCAAATTGACCGATATGTAAATAGTTCGCGACCGCTATATTATTAAGTATTATTACTAATATTACGCAAAATTAGTGCATTCAAAAAATATTAAATATTTTATGCAAAAACGAAAAAACTATATGCGGACGTCATATAAATTACATTGTATAAACGAAAACAATAAAAATTGAATACTATAAATCGTCTTCTAACATACTTATAAAGTTGCTTTTTTTAAACATATAAGCTATAGAGAAGTTATAAAATAATTTTCAAATAGGCGTCCAAGTTAAAATTTCGATATTGTTTAAACGAAAAAGTATGAAAATTCAAGCTTTTCAACTCTAATTTTTTAAAAATATTTTTTACAAATATGAATCAATTTAAACTTCAGATTATTAACACTCTACAATAAAATAATAGTCAGCCGCGAAGGTTTCACAATATGACGGACCACAAACTGTGGGTAGAGGAAGTGCAGATTTATTCACTAAAATGCAAAGTTAGATCTACCTCGCGAAGTGTCCAATTTTCAATGCAACTGGCCCAGGACTTTCTTTCCCATAAATTGCATGCATAAATATATACATTATTTAGGCTTGTGCTTTTTATGATGAATAATCAATATTTTAATGTAATCAATCACATTCTAAATATATAACCTACCTTAGGAATATGTAGATAAAATAATTCTAAATTGCAAATTTTATGTTGCATGTTTTAAAGGCAACTCTGGATTAACAAACGTCTCTGTAACGAACTCTGGATATAACAAATCAAAAAGTTAATAATTTTATATAAAAAGTGGGTTCTTAATAAAACATGGTAATTTTCTACAGCAAACGTTTTTTCTTTCGGAACAATCAATTCGTTATAGAAAAGGTTGCCGCAATCAGAACTTAAATATTTGGCCTGTCAGTTTTTTTTCCAGATGTTCCAGAATTTATGAAAACAACAGTAATATGGTTCAAAACGGATTAGTCATTCATGAAATATAGTCATGCTAAATATTAAAATTAGAGTTTGAAATCGGTAAAATTAAGCAAATGTTTTATCAAAATAATATTGATATTTTATGAAATGCAGATCCGTTTTCAATGACTTTTTATTCTAAATGAATGCTAAGAACGTTAATATTTGTTTAAGTCCAAAATTATCAAAAACAGATTAGTCTATCAGAGCATCGCTGTGATTGTCGTCAACTATAGATGCAGACTTATTTATGTCACTAGTTACGGCTCAATTGCATTTTATTTTATAAACCGATTTTTTATATAGGACGTAACTAGATGATGTCATAAGTCTGCATCTATATCGAGTGATAATATGTAGGATAATCCATGTTTGATGATTTTGAACTTAAATTGAATCATGTCATTTATAGCATTCAGTTAAAATAAATTGAAGAGTAATCTGGCCATTCGGAAAAATTTGCTGTATTTGATTTTTCCGGATCCTTTTTGCAGCCTGTATATTTCTCCTTATTCACATTTATTTGCTATTACAGTCGTATCTCTTTATAATCACATAATTGGGACCATAGTAATTTTTTTAAAAAAAATATGTTTATAAAGAAGCGTGTTATATAGAGGTTTATATATTTATTAAATAGTAAATAGGCTCAAATGAAGGTGTGATTATAAAAAGGTTTTTATATGATGTGATTATATGGGAGATGATTATGACTGTATTTAGTGATTAAATATTTAAAATAAGCTATTTACTCCTCTCATTTTTCGATAATATATCAATTGATGAGAGTAATTACTGCTTATTTATTAGAACTGTTTGTTAATGGTGTGTATGACTTGGCCTGGATCTTAAAAACCATAGCTCGAGACATGATTTAAGTAATTGATCCCAGTGTTTAAAATTCAATAAAAAATTTACGTGCACAAATGTATTTTGTGCATCTTTTTTTAAAAATTTTACATGCACACTTAATGGATTTTTAAAAAATCAAAAAAAAATTCATGCACATGTGCATCTTGTGCACGCCAATTTTAAACACTGGTGCAGGATGACCAGTATACCAATCATAAAAAGAAGCGTCTTCTGCTCGTTTCTAGTTCCGACTAAAAATCAAATAACATTAATTAATTATTTCAATTTATCTTATTAGTATAATGTATAAATTTACAAACTTTGAACATCCACTCGTATTCCTCATCTTTATCAAATGCGCCTTTTTGCAACCACTTAAGTTTGAGTGTGAATCTAGGACCAATTTCCTGCAATTCAGCTTTCTCTTTATTCTTAAACACGTACCTATTGTTTTATTTTTTTTTAAAAAAAAAACAAGATATTCTATATCAATTAATAACATTTTTACGAACCTGTGACGTCTGAAAAAAACGAAATCTCGTTGGTTATGAAACGTTGCAACCTGACGTCCCTGAAACTCTGGGACATGAGGAAAAAGTGCTTGAAGCCATCGACCAATAGTATGACCAAGCCGTGTACTAAAGTTATTAAGAATTAATTCGGGTTTATGACACGATGACCTTCCATGACCCTGTTTTTATTAAGTACAAACTTAAGTAAATAATACATGAAAGACTCAATTACAATTAAGTTATATATAATGCATCATCTAACAACATACTTCTATTTCGCGGCTTAATTTAATGCTTGTTAATTTAAAATATGCGGTAGGTCCTTCAGGCAAATGAACTAATGTGAGAGCATCTTAAGAGAACATAAAATATAAGTCAGACAAAACTTACAAGTACTGTCAAAGGATAACGGGAGAATCTTAGGTAAAATTTTCAGCTTTTATTTGTTGATGCTAAATATAAAATTACCATATTGTACTGATTAAAAGATCCGGATTTGATACAAAATACCTAACAAAAATTTGTAAAATACCCGGGTATATTATAAAAAAGGGATCTTTTAATTAGTACCGTACGGTAATAGATTATAACTTACTTGGGACTTTCCTATCTTCGTTTATTATCATAACATCTGTGAAGTCTCGATTCATACAAAATTCGATAATTCGCTTTATCGAATATCTACTTTCTCTTTTCATAAATTGGCTATTTGGAAATACGTCCACTAATTCTGATGTGAATTCGTATCCGGCCTTTGATGGCCTTTTACTGGTAGTTATGAGAATTTTGGGTGCTATCCCTTCACGAAAATATGCAGAAAATTCATCCGATTCTTTGTCTTCACAAACTTCAGGATCATTTGGATCAACAATCGTTTCATCAAATTCCCGAGAGTTTTCAAGCGTTTTAGGAATATTTCTTGATAATCGCTCCTAATTTAATAAATAGATGTTCAATATTTAATCAATTAATTTAATAATTAGATGTTTTAATAGTTAATGTTTCAATATTTGATCAATTATGTGAATAAATGGACCTGTTTAAAATACGTACCGCTTTTTTTTCTGGATTTTCGACTTCTTCTTTCCGTCGTTTCAACCTCATTTCCATTTTGCGACGGTTTTTTTCTTGCCTTCTTCGGGCATGAATTTCTTCTCGTTTGATTTTATTTTTTATCAATGAAGGCCTTAGTACATCCATTTCACAAAAAGTATTACCTTTTTTTTTTTTTTTTTTTAGGTGAATCAATTTTTATATATTTCTAGGGTCGTAGCACATTCATATGATTGGCTAATCTGGTCATCTAATTTTTTTCGTAACATCAGCTTGTGCAGGGATGTACATTTTGACAGGCTTTTTTGGTACTGTCCAACGTCCAAATGTTCAAGTGTCCAAAAGTGTCCAGAGTATACTTAAGCTTTAATAATTAATAAATTTGTTTAAAATATATATAATTATATATTTTTTTAGGTGCTGAACATATTTTATTTAGAAAGTAATATAGATTATCTTAATAAAATTTTGAGTAATTTTAATTTATTTAATTGTCCAAAATTGTCCAAAGTGTCCAAACTCACTGTCCACAACTGTCCCATGACAATACTGAGCTTGTGTAACCTTACGTACATCATAAGCAAATTCTTTTTATTTTAATTCCAAAGATCTCTAAAATTAAAATAAAAAAAAACTTAAATTTGCTTGGCTAGTTGCCGAGATATCTTCGCTCAAAGTTAGTAGAAACTTAAAACACCTTATGATACTGTAATATTTATATTAGTTATCTGTTTTTAAATTATGTATATACATAGGTACGTATATATCTGATCAATTTATCTGTTACTGAATCCAAATCGGCCAAAAAATCATTTAGCAAATTTTCACAAGTGTCTCAGAAATTATAATACAGTAATAGCTATAAATTAATAATTTATGAAATGCCGTAAACAAAGTCACAGGGCATTCATTTGTCACGAGACTATGACCCAAACCCATGACGTAGGAACGATTGGTAAGTATGATGTATTTGTGACGGATATGATTTGGCGATGAGTGTGAGTATTTTGTAAGGATGATATATAGTAGGAAGGATGAGGTCATAGTGGGTAGTTATTTAAGAGGGAAGGATAAGTGAGTTGTTCTTCCTCTTTTGCCTTTGCTGCTAGCTCGATGCAAGTCCAGCTTTATCGTTAGTGCCCGGCTACATAACTCTGCCAGGAGTCTAGACGCTTTTGCAGTAACGTGATGTGGCGTATCGTGGCACATTCAGATAAGCTTTTTTGGCTTTATGTTATGTTTATGGTTAGAGTTCGTGGATATAGGCCTTGAAAGATCATCCCTATATATAAAATTACGCTTCCAACATTTCTTGTTGGTGATCAAAGGCTGATATAAACACTCGTATTTGAGTATTGTCACCTTTTTCTTCTTGCGCATGTGGTTTGTTTTGATGTTATGCTGATCTGAGACGGTAAAATTTATGCATCCTGATTGGCCATTTCTCATATGCTACATCACGTTACTGCAAAAGTGTTTAGACTCCTGGTAGAGTTCACCTTTTACTGAATGAGAGTTGTCTCTAGAGTTAGAGTTTGAGGCGAGGATGAAGTGGTTTAAAAAGAGTGGTGTGTATAATCAATAGCCTAAGTGAGCAACCCAGATATTGAGTAAGTGTTTTTGATAGCCCGTTTGAGTAAGCCGGATATCAAAGTAATAAAGTAGATTGAAGTTTGAGATGAGGATAGAGTGGTTTAGAAGAGTAGTATGTTTAATCAATAGTTTAAGTAAGCAACCCAAATATTGAGAAGAGTTTTGGTAGCTCATCTGATCAAATTAGATATTAAAGAAATGGAGTAGTTAGGGTTTGAAGTGAGAGTAGAGTGTTAAAAAAGTGAAACATCTGTAGATTACCTTTATGCAAATCTAGCTTTGTCAATTAGTATTTGCCTATCTATTGCTAGGTTAAGATTTTGTATTTAAGTAAGGGTTTTTATATTTAGGTAAGGTTTAGTAGCCTAGATAGGCAGCCAGTATTGTTGTCATAAGCAATCACAATGCTAGAAACCAACTGTGGATTACATAAACAGTAAGACAGAATCTCATATAGTGTATTTTGTAGTATTGTTATATAGAGTCAAGTGACAATTTGCTATAACGATATATTGCTAGTTTCTATTATACAATCATGATTACAAACTAGGAAATCAGAATCTGATATGAGTCCGAAGCAACGCTAAGAGTTACTTACTGTATTCTATATGTATACTTATAGTATATATGTTGTAAGTGGGAATGGAATTTAAGTGGATTTGGAATTTTCTAGTTAAATTTGGGTTAGGGTGTATATATGATTAAATCTACCCAAAACAGAGGGATTTTATATACAAGCACTTTTTTTCCAATTTCTCAAAACAAACATTTGATTTGAATTTTCTGACATGTTACATTACACCAAATTACGTTCATCTATCAGAAAAAGTAGATCTCGTAAACATGACACTGACTGCAGATCGTCACGGGACCCTAAATTCTTGAATAATATTGGTCATATCCACTGGACATTGCATAGGTGTGCATTCAAATGTGATCGAACAGAGAGAGTCCTCGCTACACTTCAGACAATTATTAAATTTTAAAAATAGCCTTGTATATTTTATAATTTTCTATTATGATAAATTATTACCAATATAATAATTTAATATATGAAGGTTAAAAATATATAACAGAGCTTATAAAATCAATAATTTTATTGGTTACCAATATAATGTTATAGTAACAAAAAAAAATCTCAATATGAAAAAATGAAAATTTTGATTTATTTGTCCAATTGACTTAATTAAAAAACAAATTGGTTATAGTTTACTCTATAAGTATAGTAGTTATAATAGCTAGATAGTTTATATACTTACACCATCTCTGTGTTAGGCTTTGTAAAAATTATATACTACTATTTAACTAGTTTCTATTCTAATTTATATAATTAGCATATTGAAGTAAAAATCGTCATAAAGAAAAAAAAATCAGTTTCTTTAGTATTGGTACTATAAAAAAGTTAGAAATTTGCACTAATAGTCTCAAAGTATCATTTGTTTGGGTTATCACTTCTAAAGCATATAATTCATATGTTTATATTCTATGTATCTATATATTTGTTATAACAGATAAAAAGTAAACAATGCTGATTAATTTGGTAAGTAAACAATATGTTGATTTTATAAAGAGAGTAGACTAAATCGTCTACTTTTTTATAAAATTTTTCTTGAAAAAAAAGTAGAGTCAATAAAAATATATAAAGTTCTTCTTGTAAGTTTTATAGTTGTATAGTTTAGTTTTCTAATATTTACTCAATATTCTTGCTCAGAAACTCTTATTCTACTTGTTCTCAAAATAAACTTTTTGATTTGAATGCCAAATATATTAGAAAGTTTGTCAAATAAAAAAAACTTGAACTAAGACACAAACCTGCCTAATATTTTTATATATCTACTTCTCAGTATTTCATGTATTATAGGCTTTATTAACAATAAATTTGCTTTTGCAAAACCAAGAATATTGTTGTATCTACTTAGTATCCTTTCTATATTATTTACTGTAGTTTAGCTAAATTGTTATTGACCAAGAGATTGTCAGAAAGAGTTGACTATTGTATAGAATATAATAAATTAATTCAAAAAAGTTATTTTTTATTAGGTTTTGTAATTTATCACCATAGTGATATATCGTCAAGGTAATTAATTAATCAAATTAAATTATGTGTTTGTGTAATTCGAATACTCAATTTGCTAAAAAAATTTTATAATAATATTATACAAATTATATAATAAATATTTATTTAACTAAAATATATTCGGTTGTATTGTTTACAAACACATAGATACATATGGAACTGAACATGTGAATTCCATGTCTCGAATATAGCAATCTGGACAAACAATGACTCAAGACCTCTAGTGCAAATTTCTGATCTTTTTAACCTTTCTATAATGCCAATGTCAAAGAAGCTATTTTTTTTTATCTTGTCACAGTGTTTTTTTCTTATCTTAAATATACTATATATATATATTAGAGTAAAGACTAGTTTAAATAATAGTATGTAATTTTTATAGAGCCTGATACAGACTTATAATTGTGACTGTTTAGTGCAAATGAAAAATCCTATATTTAGTTTAGTTTTTTTTTTTGTTTTTTCCTTACTCTATTTATTTTTTATTTGTATTTTTTTAATGTATTTCTCTATATCTCTGTATTTTTTTAAAAAAATTTTTTTTTCTTTCACTTCTTTATAAGAAAATGTTATTAGCTTGGCAATATCCTATTATAGAGTGGTGGTTAAACAAATCCTCTAGTTAGAGTATTATTTTAATTAATTGTATTTCACCATTATGGCAGGTTACCTATAAATACTCAAGTAGAGCAGCTGTAGGATGTCAGGGCAAGAGTTTTATTATTTAAATCTTCCATAAAATAATGACTTAAATAAACATAGATCACTAGCATAATCTTGTCTAAATAAAAAAAAATTTTAAATAAAACATATATGAATCAAAATATATATTCTAGACTATTTACTCTAACTTTATCTAAAAGCAACTTAGCAAATAAAGATCCACAAACTTGTCTAAAATTATATGTTATTCATTCTAACTCTATTCAAAAACAGTTTAACAAACTAAATATTCACAAACTTATCTAACAACTAAGTATAACAATTCTAAAATAAATAGCAATTCTTGAATGTGTATCAGATTTGTAGTACATATTGTCTAAATTATGAATTAGATTTCAAAATCAAGTAAAATATAATGCAAACAAGAAATTCAAATCAAATAGTCGTTTTGTAAACAATTACTTATTTCTTGAAAACTGTTTATAAAACTACTTTTCACACATTAATATAAAGTTTTCTTTAAGAAATTTTACTAGTAGGTGTGGTGACTTAGAGTAGTGGTTAAGTTGTCACCCCCCAAGTGACAGGTCTAGAGTTTGAATCCCACTAGAGACGTTTTTAGAAAAATAGGCCTGTGTTCCAGTAACAATTATTTGACGATCAGTTGGGTATATTACCTGTAATCTTGATACTACCATCTTGTAATAGAAGCTCTTGGGCGATCCAAATCCAAGGAACCGGAATAATTGAAACCCGTTTGGCAAGACCCGAGTAAGGAGG